GGGGCGATATAAGTTTTTCTTTGCGTCTCTCGTGTTCTGCATTAAGTTTGTTGGCCTCTAAAAAAAAGTTTGATTAGATAATTTTTAGCGCAAATATATACACAAGTGACTACATGTGAGGAATCGAATTCTGGACTTCAGCGTTGTTCCAAAAGTCCCCATAATATTTACCGTTTACCCGCGGTTTTTTTTTTCTTATACGTCGTCACAGAAGATTTTTTTAGGGATTAAAAACCCGAGCACGATGCTATTCAAAACTCTGTTTACTCTAAGACAGCACCTGGCCTGTCATCGTATTTATTGACGATAATTCTGTATTTAGGTCAGCAGGGTTATAGGACAATGTTATTAGAATATTGCTCTTCTTACATACAATACTAATGATGTTGTACTGTCAAAGGTTTATAGGGCACGTTCTAGGTAAGGATCAAAAGATCGCCTGCTGGAGCGTGTGTATATATATATATAAATAGATAACGTGTATATTTTAGCCATTATTCATTTATATTTTCATCCTACGATTCAAAGCAGTTTTGTGTTCAGAAACGTAGGTAAGAAGTTAGTACGGAAGAAAAAGGAAAGAAGAAGTTAGAGGATAGAAAGAATGAAGAACTACTTATATTTTCTGATGGTATGCTACTCGAGTTTTAGTAAGAATAACCAATATATATATATATAAAACGCATCTGTAGACAGTAAGTGACAGATAGATTTTGAATCGAAAAAAAAAAGAGCTTGTAAAATGTTTGTATTATATTACATTATTTTATTTTTCTATAGGCATTAATTTAGGAATAGCAGGAGCTAATATTTTTTGCCCTTCGTTAAATCATTCTACATATAATTAGTGAAGCTGGGCGAAAAAAATACTCTTTGATCATACCGGCAGACCCCCGATGGTTCAGTGGTAATTCTGATAGCTTATAACGCTAAATATCTGGTTTCGATTCCCGCTGCGAGCACAGCACAGCTAGCACATTTGTGTGGCTTTGTATATATATTCAGAGAGAGGTGGTACTGTAATATTAAACTATGGATATTATTTATGCAGTATATTTGAAATACCTTTCTTCAAAACCAGTTATTTTGTTGCAAAAATTGATGAAAATGTACTTAATTTATCCATATTTATGAAAATAGACACGAAAATAAAAACAGTTAAATATGCACTACCGGCACTTCTGTTTAAAATTATAATAAATAATTAAACGTACGGCTTCAATAAAGTTTTATTGTGTAAATATAAAACGTTGTTTTTAATTATCTATTATAATTTTAAAAACAGTTGATTTATCCATATTTATGAAAATAGACACGAAAATAAAAACAGCGCCCTGCACTTTCATTTGTGGGTGCGTTATAAGAGTGACAGCGACTCTCGTTATTCGATTCAGAGCCAGACAAAAAAACCATTGCTGCAACTTAGCTGTTTATTTTTCCTCTGACCAATGGTCAAGAATTAGCCGTTTAGCCCATGTGTCGCATACGGTTCCGTTTAGCTTGAAAACACCACTACCTCTGTGCTTAAGGTGAATTTGATCATTGATGAGATGTATACGCAGCTCTGTTTCTTAGGCGTCCTCCGGGGGTACAGTGGTGGACACAGTTGATAGGTTTTAGGCCAAATTTACTAAGCTAGTTGGTTAGTTAGTTAGTTGTTTTAGAGCAAAGCCACATTGGGATATCTGCTGTGTTCGCCATAAACTTACCTCTGACCCACCGGGGGACCTTTTACTAAGCTCCATAATGTGAAGCTTACTTAAACTCATATCATTTAGAAGTTTTATTTTTACATGTAAACTCTTCGGGTAAAATAGGTATTTACTTATTAGTAGGGATGCACAGGTAGTAAAATTTGGCCGAATACCGGGTCCGGGTACTCGGTCACTAAGCTTCGGCCGGGGCTGGGTGTCAACCGGGACCGACTTCTCCCCTTGCCCACCCCAACCCCCTAAAACAACAACAACAAAACAACATACACGAAAATTAGAAACAAAAACAAAATTGACGTTTATTACATTGAACCGAATAATTACCAACAGAACATTCAAGTTTTACTTTCAACTTTAAAAGTTTTTTCGTTGTACAAAACTTGAAGATAGCTTTTATATACGGAAACATCTGTTAGCTGAGTTCTTGCACAGATCTTAAAATATAACGTTG